CAAAATAATTTATTAAAAGCCTCAAAAAAAGAGACATACAAGGAAGAAGTGAAAATGGACAACGGTCTTCACGTTTATGGAGGACGATTATAAAGTTAAAGGTGACCAATTTTCTATGTTTCAAGGTAAGTAAAAGGAAATTATGCTAAAATTATAGGCCAATCATGGTGAAGAAGAACATTAATATTATAACATCTTTGGATGCCACAAAATATCACCCAAAAGGTTGTATAATTCTCTCTGTTTCATTACCTAAAATCAAGACAGCTCCTGAAAAGCAGGTATTGATTAATATGAATCAAAGTGCCAGACTGTCTTATACTTGAAGACTGTAGGAAATAGATGACTCCCACTCTTGTACCCCTTGGCTTCAGTGAGCTATTTTCCTCCATTAGTAAACTCTTGGGCTATAAAGCTGTTTCACAGGGTATTAGATACTACGGGTTTCAGATGTATAATAATGAATAATGTATTATTCAGAAAACACAATGGGGATTAGGTGAGTTCTTTAGGCTTCTTGATTATGAAGATGATCATAACTTGGATGAACTTAGCTTAAGCTGCTGCTAGCATTTCAGTTCACCCATCACTTGGTATCAGAGATTAGCAGCTACATTTGCTCAGGTCTGAACATGCATTCCTCATATTTAGAACAAATGGAATTTGGAGGGGAAAAATCTTTATTCCGATTTTAAAAAACTTTTATAGATAACGCATATCTGTCACTTAATGATTTTTAGCTCTATAGTCTCTGTAATTTCCCTTTATCAACACTAGAGGCAGAGGGACTTTCAAAGTATGTAAGTGGTAATACACAGGACACTTGACATAATTTACTTTTTAAGTCTGAGTTTAATTTTTTTTAATCAAGGGTTATTAAGAGGTCTTTGAAATAAATAACTTCAAAAGGTTTTTCAACATAAATGGAAACGAGATTTATCTGGAGGAGATAACCAAATTCTACAGGTTATTTGACAAATTTAGAACAACCAATGTACAACTAGAAAACTGGAAGCATGGAATGTTTAGCAATTGATTCTGTGATTGGGTATTTTTTTTTTTATTGCCTCTCTTGTTCTGTAAGTTTTACCCCAAAATTAGGATTGATATCCTTGACATACACCTCATATATATTTTCCTTTCCGTATTCCAACTCCCTACCCTTTTGCTCATGGCCCCAGAGAAAAAGGTGGATCTCAACACTAGAAAAAGGAAATATAGGAGGTTTTTAATAGGCCAAGAAGAATTAATATGTTTCCTCCAGGGGTGAAAAATAATTGTAGAAAGAAGACAAAGAGAAACAACAAGACAGACATGAAAGTTCGAATTCCCTGTTCTGGAGCAAAGTCACTAGTGTGTATGCACTAGAGAGTTTGGAAAAGGACAAAAACCCCAATGGGGAGAATAAACATGAACAAGAGGAGCCTTAGGTCTGTGTTCCATTTAGAACTCTGATAGTGTTGAGTGACCTTGGCATATCAGAAATGGTGATCTGACAAGTATTCCTTTAGGCCCCCAGTGGTTAAGGGGTAGCATAAGGAAGTCAAGCCTGGGCTCTATGATTGAGGTTCAGGGTCTACCAGCATTGACCACTGATGCTGCCTCAGCCAAGAGGAGAGGCCATGAATCCCATTAGCCATAGATCTAGCAGTGAAAGCCAACAAGAAGTCTGGTCAGAGGACACATAGACACATAAGCTTTACCTCATACCCATGAAAGACAACATTAGCCAAAAAGAGACAGATTTAACCTGAAAACAAACACTTCAAACTGAAAGATTGAAATACATTTAACTAGAAAGTTAAATTTTTATCCCATTATCTTCTCCCCAATTAGCCATCTCCTCTTCCCCATCTCTTAGGCCCTACCCTTCCCCCAGTAATTATGAGTATTGGAAGGGCAGTGGGAAATTTAAGAAAAGTTTGAAATTATTATAGAAAAGAAAGGGACTACATTCTTCTCATAATTTTTATCCCCTTTACATGTTATCAACAAAATGAAATTAGATACTTCCAGAGGCTAGAGCTTCCCACATAGAGTCTGTCCATTAACATTCTACACAGGGATGGCACATGACTATGCTCGGAAAGAAATGTTCCATTTTAAAGAAGATGCCTATTTTACATACTCTAAAACAGCCACATTTCATACTTCAAAATAAAAAATATTTATTGAAACTTATATTAAAATGTGTTAAGAAATCTCATAATATATTGGGGCACCTGGGTGACACAATCAGTTAAGCTTCTGACTTGGTTTCAACTGCGGTCATGATCTCGTGGTTATGAAATCGAGCCAGAAGTGGGGCTCCCCTCTAAGTGTGGAGTCTGCTTAAGACTTCCTCTCCATCTATCCTTCCTCCCCATAAAGAAATGTTTGTAACAAACTTGACATACTTTAGCTTAGTGGGTAAAATTAGAGAGAAATTTTCCATCCTGCAGATATAATTTAATAGATCTAATCAGTTAGGGGTGTTACTGGTAGAAAATTAACAAATGCAATGAGAACAGGTATCATAATGGCCTGTGTAAAGAGCCCCAAATTGGGACTACTGCCTAATTGTTTCCTGGAAGGCATATCTATAGAGTATCAACCACCTAATTCAAATAACACACTATCCCTTCCATCTGTCCCTACAGTCGCAGAAGTGAACGCCTGACCAATAAAAAATGAGCATAGGGGCGCCTGGGTGGCTCAGTGGGTTAAGCCTCTGCCTTCAGCTTGGGTCATGGTCTCAGGGTCCTGGGATCGAGCCCCATGTCGGGCTCTCTGCTCAGCAGGGAGCCTGCTTTTCCCCTCTGTCTCTGTCTCTCTGCCTACTTGTGATCTCTCTTTCTGTGTCAAATGAATAAATAAAATCTTTAAAAAAAAAAAATGAGCATAGCACTCACCATCATCTTAATGACCAGACCAAGGGATGGAACTGTGATCCCGGGCAAGTCTTAATCTGAAATTTTTCACACTGGAGCTAGGTAACATAAGCCCCCATTTTCCTAAGTTGCAAATTGTGAGAATGTAAGTCTGGAGGGAATGAAGCCTACATGGTTTGCTGCTAGGAGGAGTTGGTCTGAGAAACACAGTATGCAGAGAAAAGCAAAGATGAGACAAAAACACATTCTTAACATATTTGAAGTCCTGGTACAGTCAGCCCTGGTATCAGCTATCCTTCCTAGGAATAGAAACCAACAAATTCTCTTGGTGGCTCAATCTGCATCCACATGGGTATTCTTACTGGAAACCATCTGAGTTCTCACTAATAAACCTAGTAAGAAAGTGTTATACTCCAACTAGGTAGAAAAATAATAAATGTCAATATTGCCATTTTGCTAATTGTGTAGTTTTGAACTAATTTCTTAAAATCTCTGAGCCTTAGCTCAGCATCTGCAAACTGGGGCTTACAACTATTCTACTGAATTACTAAGAAATTAGGAATATGTACATGAAGTACTTAACAGGATGGCTCTCCCATAGCACTTGCTTAAAAAGTGCTAAAATTTTATTGTTTTGATAATGAGGTTTTGAGGAGGGTGTGGGAGGAGAACCCTAAGAAGACAAAAATTATAGTACTCAATCTTAGGTGATTTTTCCATGAAAAGCAAGTCTACTTAGGAAGACAGGGGAGGGACAGGGGTTGGGCAAAATGAGTAAAGATAAGTAGAAAATATAGGCTTCCAGTTATGGAATGAATAAGTTACAGAAATAAAAGGTACAGCAGAGGGAATATAATCAGTGGTGTTTTAATGGCTTTGCATGGGGATAGGTGGCATCTACACTTGTGGGGAGCACAGAGTAACATACAGACATGGTGAATCACTATGCTGTAAACCAATGTAACACTGTGTGGCAACTATATTTCAATTTTAAAAATTAAAGATTAAAAATTAAAAAAAAATTCCTACCTAAACAGAGTTTAGTAAATACAAGTTAGAAAGAATTTTTAAAATGTAATTAAGTCAGAAATAAGTATAAATAAAAGATATCCATGACCTTAAGGAGCAATGATTTTTGAAAGCGTAATTCGCAATAAATAAGCATTTGCAGTTGAAAGTCTATAAGAGGTTAATGGAATGGTCTTATTTTTAAGAATAGTCTTAATAGGAAAGCTAAAGCAAATATGATTGATATAGCTATTCCCTGAAAATGGATGTAGCAATACTTTTAGGTCCAACTCGAATGCCTCACAATAATAAAGCCTTCCATGGCATCACCAAACCCATGTACAATTACTATGTACCACACCTATGATACAGTCTTTCTTTTTTTTTTTTTTTTAATATTGTATTTATTTATTTGACAGAGAGACACAGCGAGAGAGGGAACACAAGCAGGGGGAGTGAGAGAGGGAGAAGCAGGCTTCCCACCAAGCCGGGAGCCCGATGCGGGGCTCGATCCCAGAATCCTGGGATCATGACCTGAGCCGAAGGCAGACACTTAACGACTGAGCCATCCAGGTGCCCCAATACAGTCTTTCTTTTAATGTATTTATTTACTTACCCGTCTACATTACAAAATCTTCATAGTAAGGTCTCTCTTTTTCATATTTGTATCTTATAATTATAGATCAAGAAACTGGTCAAAGGCTCAAAATAGAGTGTTTAAATGAAACTGAATTCTAGATGCACACTAGGAGTCAGAAAAAAAAATGGATTCTAATCTTGCATCTGCGATCTACTAGGTGTCTAGGTGTGTTCTCTTGAATAGGTTGCTAGCTTTAGGATCAAACACTCATTGTGTCTGTCTTCAAAGTTGTGTTCTCTAACCCACTCCCCCGCAAAAATCACATCTAAAATACATTTGCTACCTTTACACACTAAAACGGACCCTCTACAAAAGGTAATCTTCAACCAAACTCCATAACCAATCTTGGAATAATTATTATCTCTCAAATTGAACAATTCAACAAGGTGATGTTTTAAAAGGCCCAATATTATAGAATCAGCAAAGTAGACCCAGAATTCTAACTCAAAGATGTCATGCTTTCTATATACCACACCACTTACTTGTGTTTTAGAAGTCTTGGAATGCTTTTAAAAGGCTTTTCACTCTTAATAATGTTTCTGTTCATAAGGCGCACCTCACTGGTTTGGATAGTCAAATGAGATGATATGAAACTTCCTTGTAAAGTATAAAAGCCTCCAAAATATCAACTGGTGTTATTATCACGATGCTGATGTTGATAAAGATGATATGGAAGAGAAAATTATGTACTTTGGATGTTTTGTCACTCTGATACTTACATTCTTTTAAATGAGCTACTTACTGGGAGCTGGGAGAAGGCTCTGGATTTTTATTACTTGCTCTTCAACTTTTGAGTAAAATTAAAATGTAATTTTCACAGGTGTAAAATGTAAAATTTCAGAGGTGATTACCTACTATATTTACTTAGAAATTATGGCTCTCTATATATGTGTGTATATATATACATATATACACAGATAGATATATACCTTAGAAAAGGATGGTAATTGACTTGAAGAAATTTCTGGTCTTACTGGGAAAAGTCTCTGAAACATTGGTTTGTATGAAAATTGCATGTGGAACTGTGTATGCTGGGCCCTGGCTTCCTGGCTGAGATGAAGTCTCCTCTCCTTTTCTCCTAATTGTTCTTTCTTTTGAAACTGGAGTCCGGTTAGAGCTTGTAACATATTTGTCTTCTTTTCTTCTCACTAATAATGGATTTGGAAAAAAGGAGCTCTGCAAAAAACATGCAAAAAATTATTCTCTTTTATTATCTAAGATTATATATTGTGAAATAAATCTAGTAAATGATAGGGGAAGCATCTAAAATAGAAAAACAAACTCATTCTTTAATGGTTATGGTTCACCCATAAAGATACAATTCTTAATGCTCAAGTTTAAAAAAAAAAAAAAAAAAAGATGAGAAGAAACAGTTGGCATTCAGCTAACAATTGTGTTTGGAGATTTGTGCCTGACTTTGTTATTCTGAGCAAAGCCAGGTACCAGCCTCTTGGGATTATGTACAAAGGCAAGAAAAAAAAGTGGACATGTACAAACCTCAAAGGTGACTGCTGGGTTAATAAAACAGTCTGTTTTCTGTTCACCCACTCTTGCTCTCAGTGTGCAAGTATATTAAAATATGTCAAAAGGAAAACCATTCGCTGTGCAAAAATAATTCAGCTACAAGTCACAATTTCCAGCTGATGGAGTGCCTTAGTGCATTTAAGTGCACTAGCAAGTGATCCATACATCTCCCTAGATGAAAGTTGCATCCTCATTAAAAGAGAAACAAACACAAAATAGGAACAACTGTCACAGAGAAAAACAGACCACAATGGATACCGCATTTCCCCCACTCAGTTTCTGACTTTAGCTACTGCAGACTGAAGAGCAGTGCTGTCCTAGAAGTAACCTCTTAAAAAGCCATGAAAGTAAAACAAGGAAGCTGCTAGAGGAACCGAATGTGTAGCTAATGGCCATCCATATTACTGTTCAATGTATCTGGAAAAATATCTTTTTCTTTCTAGTCTCTATAAAATCTCCCACCACATAAGACTTTGTAATAATGTGAAGTATCTGGATTAAACAAATGCACCCCAGGGAATTTAGAATTAATGCTCTAACATATTTTTAAATAACCTCTCTTAGATAAACTCTGGTTTAAGCGTTTGTAAGATATCATACCAACCTTTGTTTTTCTGATTTTTTTCTAAAGAACTATATCATTGATATGAATCTGCAAAAAAAAAAAGAGGAGGTTAATATTATTAGCTCTAATAATACTGTTCTTATTTGATTAATGTGTTGCACATTATTATAAGGCAAAAAAATACAGTGGCTACAGAATGTGGGAGCTCTGGTCTTAGGCACCACCGGATCTATAAAAGGAACACATGTCTTCAAAAAGTAGATATTATGATAGAATAATAAGGGAACAATATATGAAAAAACACAACTAATTATAAAAATGCTGTACTAGCAATTATTTAAAAGATGGGTAAGGTATTCCTCTTGCACATGGGCATCTTTGCTCAATAATTTTCAGAGCAGTTACTATATACTATTACAATTACCTGCTTACTCTGTTGTGTTCCCCATACTAGAACACAAGCTCCTCAAGGGCAAGGTTTCTTATGTGTTGCTTCTAACATTGTTAGAACCCACCCCCCATCTTAAACAGCCCTTGCCCATAATAGAAATCCAATAATTATCAATTGATTGGTTAACTGACTGATTTTGGCTGAGCCCTACTTTGAACTGCCAATCCTTAGGGGAAGGTACCAGAACTATAAAGGGAAGGTGGATGCAGGAAAAGACCAGTGATTTCCATGACAAATCACAGAGCAGGAACAATGGATATGCACATGAAAAAGAAGAACTCATTATGCATTAAACTAGAATATATAGAATAATCATTAAAATGAAATTGAAGCGCAGTATAGGAGTATGGGTGATAAGGAATCAGCAAACCAATCTAAATAAATTGTCAAGAGCAATTATGCGAGTTTGGAAACAAGAAAAGTACTTGAGGAACCTGAGTTAATGGTAAGAACAACTTAATAAAGATGGGAAATAATAGATTTGGACGCCAAGTATTAGTGAGATATATTTCTGGTACCCATGAAATTCTACAGCAAATTATTAAGCAGCTAGCCTATGATGACATAGAAAATAAAGTGGAATTCGCTAGGAGACAGGGAACTGGAAACAAGAGAATATGATATGATGACAAAAGTATTGGCTTCACATTCCGTATGCATTCCCTGGTTACTTTAGTGATTTCACCTTTTCTCTCTTTGTTATGAGTTGAATTATGTCCTTCACCACCCCCTGCCCCAAAATGTTGAAGTCCTAACCTCTGGTATCTGTAAATATGACCTAATTTGGAAATGAGGTCTTTGCAGATGTAATTAAATTGCTCATTAAGATGAGGTCATCTTGGAATAGGGTGAGGCCTTGACTCGTACGTCTGGAGTTCTTACGGGAGGGAAAGAGACAACAACAAGAAGGGAAAGAGACAACAACAAGACAGACACAGAGGGAAGAGTAGTTCCATGTGATGACAGAGGTAGAGACGGGAGTTGTGCCAGGAGAGAGGAAGCACGGAAATCTCCCTCTGAGTCCCCCAGAAGAGAACACTCCTGTTGATACCTTGATTTTGGGCTTCTGGCCTTCGAAACTGTGAAAGAATACATTTCTGTTTTTTAAGCCACCCAGTTTGTGGCTTAAATTTATTATGAAAGCCCTAGGAAACTAATACAGTGTTCTATAAAATAAAATTAGTGATGCATCTTCCTAAGATGATTGTCAGGAGGATTATAATATATCAGTTCTTAATTTCAGCAAAGCGTCTTACAAAGTCTTTTGTAATGTGTTCACTGATGAAATAAATCACGCAAGCTCAGTTATTAGTGAGGAAAAGTTGTTAAAACTATCAATCCCAAAGAGAGCTGATTAATATTTCAACATGAGCCTAATTTTTCCCAAAATTTTCACTTGATATATTAAAAATAGTTCTCAGTCCTTGGATATCTATATTTTAGGGCTCTTTGAAGATAAATGCAAAGGAGTTTGGGAGACTGACCTTGAGTAACATTTGTAATGGTGGACACAGAACCTTTCTTTCTTTTCTTTTCTTTAAATTAAGATTATTTATTTATTTATTTGAGAGAGAGTAAGCAAGAGAGAGAGTGTGTGCATGAGCAGGGGTGGTGGGTAGGGGCAGACAGAGAGGGAGAAGCAGACTCCCTGCTGAGCAGGGAGCCCAGCTTGGGGTGGGGGTGGGGGTTCAGTCCCTGGGACTCCAGGATCACACCTGAGCTGAAGGCAGATGCTTAACCAACTGAGCCATCCAGGCACCCCAACACAGAACCTTTCATTTCTGCATTGCTGTTTAACATATTTAACAGGACACAGCTAAATATGTAGTATGGATACCGCTCAAATATGGGGGAAGAAAACTAACTTGGGAGAAATAACATTGACTGAATGCCAAAATCAGCATTTAAAAATAAAGTTATTATTATGTTTATTATTATTATAACAATATGATTTAGTAATAATTATTATTAAAAGCAATTTAATACTTTAAACCCCTAATAGTACTGGATACATAATACTCAGTAAATTACTATTATTATTAATAGAGTGATAGCCTAAGATAGTGGGCCAAACCCACTTAGGTGGAAAATACACAATATTTCATGTGGGTTCAAAATTTAAATAGATGTAAGTTGGGAAATATCCAAGTTCCCCATTAATTTATATGGGGTAGATTTGGAGATTTCAGTTGACCAAAGACTCAATGTGTGCGAACAGCATTTTTTGTGGCCTTTAAAACAAAAACAAAACAAATCCAACAGCAAAGGTGATGACTTGGGATGAATTAATATGTATATGCAAGCCTGTAATAATTTACGGAGAGGGAAGATAAGAGGTCTGTTTTTCTAAAAGCAGTGATGCTCCTCTTTAAGTTTAGCAATGGTCAACATGGTGTAATGAAGGAGGTAGAATTTTAGAGGAGATGAGGGATTTCTGTATATTCTTATCCAAACTTCAGGAAGATTAAAAGATGTAGGATTCCATGACATGCAAATCTGTGCCACAGGAAGTAAATCTCAGTGGAAGACATTTCTTCTACCTCTTAGAAACAACTAAAGGTTTACAAAAGCAGCTTCCAAGATGTACTGTGGCCAGCAGTAAGGAATATCAGACTCACTCAGTTAAGACTGAAGTGCAAAGAATGACAACAGACATTTGAGGGGCTAAAGGAAGATACCACCTAGAAAGAGCAACTCACTCTCAAAGATGCAGAGGAGGCCCTAAACAAAAGGGGGAGGGAGGGCATTTGACAGAGGATAAAAACAAAAGCACCAATGAGATAAATTTCCCCCTTACCGATAGTCAGGAGCATGGCTGATACCCAAGAAAAGGGGGAAGGTAGGGCAGACTTAATGTTGCTAGTGTGGCCTTTTGCTAATTAGACTTCTCTCTCAAGGCTCTTGGGACTATCACAGGCAACTAGGAATGTTCTGGACGTAAAATGTACTTTCCTGGATGTTGATTAGGGCACAATGCCTATGATACTCATCACAGATATAACTCGGGTTCTTTATACTTGAGATCTTTCTAACGCAAGGTATCAAATAGGGACAATCGCTGTATGAGTTTCCTGTGGATGCTGTAAGAAAATATCAAAAATTTGGTGGCTTAACACAAATTTTTTATCTTCTAGGACTGAGGTCTGAAATCAGTCAAGGTGTTGTCAGGGCTGGTTCTTTCTGGAGGCAATAGGGGAGAATCCATTTCCTTGCCTTTTCATATTCTAGAAATAGTTTATATTTCTCAGTTTGTGGCTCTTTCTTCCAGAGTACATCATTCTTATCTCTGCTTCCAC